CTGAAGAAATACCTCTTGAAATTGCGACGCGTTGCATGCCACTCTGCACTTTCGTGAGCGATTTGTCTAAGTCAAAAGTTTTACATACGGTAAAAATTATGCTTATTGCAGTCTTTCGAATTTACCCTCTTTGCGTTAATAAATATAAATGATACTAATGCGTATCAATTTTCAATGCTTTTAACGTTGATTTAACATTGTTGACGAAAAATAGTATGAATGAGAGAGAAAAGTCAGATTTTTATCAAATATATTGGCACGATATATCAACGAGAGTGAATTCTATTGATAACGTGAACGTAATTTAATAACGTACGTTGAATAAAATATCTATTTGTCTCGTCGTTTTAAAGCAGAGAAAAATAAAAAAGTTAGAATGAAACTAAAGGGAATTTTCAAGCGCGTTAATATTAAATAAAATTATTAAATTTTTTTCTATGCTTATTATTGATACATTTTTGTTTTTAAATCGATTTATTTAAATCGATCTCTCTGTAAATACATATAAAATAAATCGCTATCCTAAATTTTTAGAAAAAATAAGAAAATAGCAGAATATTAAATAATAATTAAATACGCATCTTAAAATAAAGTCTTATTTTTTTAATGTATATTACGCTTTATTCTGGATGCGCTTTAGCTGGCGCCAGAAAGAAGAAATCCGATAAGAACATCGTTACATGGCGCCGCTTAATAGAATGTTATCGGGATAAAGCTCCAATCGCACTATCTCGTACATCTCGCTGATTTATGTCACGTTGATATAACAAGAGAATAACAATATAATTGCACTCGAATGTGTATACGTAATTATCAATAGCGAGCGTATACGTTTGTTCACCAGATATCAAGACGTTAAATATTTTGATTATACATGTAGCATGTTGAATGTCACTTTGTAACGCTTTAATGCAATAGCGCGGTAAGACGCTACGCAATATCATCACAAAATTGGCGCATCCTACACAGTTATTTCTCATAGTGTCAAGTCTTGTATAAGTTAAAGTATGTTAAAAATCTATTTTTATACCATTTGTTTTCTGTCCTGAAAACTCAACGAGTACTGCATTTTCTCGGCAGTATACCTGTTTTTTCTGCTCGTAGTCAGAAGAATTATCAGTTTAAGTGTTTATAAGTAGAAGTAGATTTTTTCCCGTGATATCATTAATTATATAACTTTTTTATGTTATTCTATTTCTAACACTGTTTCTGTTTTACGCAAAGAATTTTATTTTCTAATACGAAACATCTCTCTAATAACAGTATAATTTATCCGAAACATCAGGAGTTATATTACGAGTTATTGTGTGTCTAAAAACATTTACAAAAATAGATTCTGTTTTGATAAATGGTGTCATTAATCATAAAATTTGACATCATTGCATTTTCTAAACAAAAAATAATGTGACATTTTGTGTTTTACAAACGCGAGGAATTTATCTTTTAACACATTTTTGAAAATGCAAAACTTATCTAAAATATCAGATACTTAATACATTTATAACTGCAGATTACGTAATTTTTTATGTACGATTATAACAACTTACGTACTCACATAATCAATATTGCACGAGTTATTTATATTGTAACAAATATAAGCGTGACATTCAAAGTAATATATATAATTAGCATCTAAAACTTTTAATCCGCACTTGATTGAACCAGAAAAATGTGAATCGCGTGATATTACCTTGAAACTTGATTCTGTTAAGTAGAATGATAATTCAATATATTTGTCAGTTAATCGTCACTGATCGTACACACGCGGGCGTGTATGTTGGTCGTTGTGTCGCTGGCACAAATTATCTCGAAATTATGTCCTCGCCTCTCGTAGATAAAAACGATTCACGCCTCGACAGTAACTTTCTCTTTCGACAATCATTGGAACGCTGCATCTACTTCAACAAATGCGAGGAACGCCACGCACTGCAATTACATTTAAAAGCAAGGCAAACCGTTCTAATGTATTCAAAACCTCGTTAAAGCAGCGATCACTTCAATTTAACATAAATTATATATGTATCATATCAATCAGTAGTTTGCACACAAGAAGACGAAACTCATGCAGAACTGACAGTTAACAATCGGTCGTAGACAAGCAGTTATCGCATTTTCGAGTCTTTCAATTTTTATTGAATCAGGGATTTCGCAAATGAATACTCACAGTTTTCTCTCAATCTTTTGGCACACGAGATAAAGTTTGGCAACTTGAAGGTAATTATGAATAATCTACCTATTTGTTATATTTCACAAGACAAACCATCACGTTTCCCACACATCCACGACGGTCATCGTTGGCAATTATCATCTTGTTATAGTAATGACGTAGTAATGTCAAGGACGCAAGGCACAAAGCATATTCTTAATTGAAGGGTCCGACATGTTGGGCATTATTTAAAATAGCAAACATATCATTTAAAAGTCAACCGATAATAAAAAATATGTTACACGTGTGCATATTATCGTCTAATAACAGTTAAACGGTCAAATGATAATTTATTTGGTGTCAGCGAGTCATTGTAGGGTTCGCTGTACCCCATTTCCATTCTTCTGCGTTCATTGACATGTTTGTTAGCTTCGGCGTAGTTTCTTAAAGGCTATATAGCCATCCACTGATTCTATTGCGAAAGCAATATATCGTAAGAATTTCGATAAGAAGCATCGTGGTGATGCTGATTGGTGACAGTGGTACAGTAATCAAAATTATTCTTAATGTTGACTCTGTACTGTCAACTCAGTTGATTCTGCAAGTTTGTAAATTACAAAGAAATTATTCGGATATGCACGTCTTGTGTTTGTAAATTTGAAGAAAACGTTGTGAATTGGTGATTCTGTCAAGACGGGATTTCTCCGACATCGGTACTAATTATTTTATCAATTAATGATTGAAGATAAAAGAAGCGTTAAAATAAAATGTTTATGCGAACGCGAGATTTTTTAAGATTTGTGTTATCACACGCACGTAATTAACGATATCAAAATTTAATAATAATGTGATAGATTTATGATAATGACTGTGAGATTAGTTTTCAACATGACGATATCGCGGAGAAAATAAACTTCAAATGGTGTAGAACGAAACCATTGCAACCACATCCTTTAGTCGGCGAAGTCAAGTTGAAGCATTCCGTAAGCAACGTAGCAAATAGAATTTTTTGTAGATTCAAAGCAATTAATTAAATGTAAAGTCGATCTTAATTAAAATATTGTTATAAGATTATTAATTAATTACATAAAATCGTTTTTTAAATATACAGAGTATTTTTTAAAACTCCAGCACTGAAAATATCTCTATTGTTTTTAATGATAAAATATAATCAAAAAGAGAAACATATTCGTTTCAAAAAGACATTATGATAAGAACAAAATTTTCTCAAGTTCATATTTCTTCGAATTTTAATATCATTGCCATTTTTTAATGGAATTATATGATTTTTTTACATAATATGATTTCTTTGTGTATAAAAATATTAAGGAAAAAATCAATAATCTACGAGACATTTTATATTTTATTCTGACACATTTGACTTAAAACATACCTCATAAGTTTAAAATAAATATTATGTTCTTTTCTATATACGATAATAATTTTATGCAAGTAATAATGAGATAAACCAATCAATAATGAGATAAACCAATCAAAAAACACATGGTTGCCTTTCAAAAAAAATTGTACAACATACTCTTTTTAAACAACTATATGTTTTCTTTAGACTAATTAATTTATTTCATTATTCTGTGCATAATTAAATTTAAAAATAGCAATAATATTAAAATTCGAAGAAATATGAACTTGAGAACAATTTTTTGCTTATTATAATATTAACACTCAACGATCCGTTTTTTCTTTAAATAGTAAAGTAATTTCATAATATATCGCAAAAAATTAATTTCTTTCTCTTCCTTATCCTACGAATTTTGACGTCGCGAGAATTAACATCTCGGCGCGAAAGTAGGCATTTATCAAAGTGAAATGTCAGCAATTCCGACAGATATGTATCGTATATAAAAAATACATGATAATATGTGATATCGTCATACTTTGACGGTTGCACATATGAACTATTATTTGAACGCCAAAAATAACTGTTATCATCAATACTATAACACTCTTAAAACTATAATGTCGAGTTTGCATGTATAATCAGTATAATAGTACAATAATACCGATAAGGAATCGGTTTATTCCACAAGTTGAGCCATCAAGTAGTTTTCCACCTTTAAATAAACTTATTATTTAAAATATTATTTCAAGAATATATTACAAATTGAAAATTGAGGACGATGATAGAAAACAATTAATAACGATCATAAAATCTTCACGTTATCACAGATTGATTAGATAAAAATATTATATTGACCTAAAAATTTGTAAAATTATCAAATAAATATATCATCAAAATTTAATTTGAATTAAAAATTAATTAGATCCTTAAATAAAATTATGATCTTAAAATGTAATAACTAATAATCTTAATAATTTTGTTCAAATGTAAAATACATTATCATAAATATGTTTCGTATCATACAAGATAAACTATCTACATCTTTTTAAAGATGGAAAAATGTAACTATATATATTATGAAATATCTTTCAACTCTAATATTTTTTATTCATCTCATTCACATTTGTGCAACTATTTAAATTATGCAACTAATGGCTGCGTTTAGGAGATAAAATCACTCAATAAACGCTCAATGATTTTTTAATATATTTTTTAAATATAACTAGTTCTTGCCAGTTTATTGCTGAATGTAAGTATAGCAATTGTAATAAAGACTTACTGAGCGCTCACTGAGCAACTTTATCTTCTGACCGCAGTTTATAATTCTGGCAGTATTATTTGTTACTTCTTATTTCTTAATCAAAAGTAACCGCAGAATTGCTTATTCAATCAAGAAATTTCAAGCGAAATTATCGATAATGATTATATTAACACACATTGCTCTGATAACAAGGTCAAGCATATTTATACGTATAATTGTTTGTAGGCACAACTATTTATAGGCTCTCGATTATGGTCGTCGGTAATTGATAACGTAATCGCCTTATGCGAAACGCTTTTTCCGGATGAGCTTCACGTCTTGCTGAGAAGAATTTACTGGTCTAAGGGAATTCACGCGGAAAAGATCGAGCGTGAGTGACTGATCGCGAGTGACGATCGCGCGAGTGACTGTGTCGCGTGCAAGGGCAACCGCAAATTTCGTTAAGTACTACAAAGTCTACTTGGAAGAATCGTCCAATCTCCTACATTTAAGTTGGAGAACGGAAAAGTCAGTCGTTCTCCTCAGCTCGCCGGAGGACATTAGACATTAGCAAAGATTCGCGCAGCCGCTCTCCCACTTTTTGCGATCGAAACCAATGCACCGGCAGATTTATCAATCATCGACACAGAAGCCATCCGTTTGTCATTCGTCGTGATATGCCATTGTGATCGAGAGGAATTATTCTTCAAGCGCTGCATAATTACAGCTAAAATTAAGGTATTGCTTTTTTATGTCAGTAATAAGCTTTGTGTCGTCTAAATTAAAAGATTTAGTCTCTAACTTGTGCTTGATTTAAATAAATTAAAATTTAATGACAATTAATTAGATACTAATTAATTAGAATTAATGAGAATATAAAATTTCATCAATTATTATAGCAATCTATTTTTATTTCTTTTTTTATAGGTATTTCAATGTTAACATTTAATCATATTATACGTACAAAAAGAAGGATTTTGTTGAAGTATCAAAAAATTTAGCTATATAATTTATTAGGTCACATAATTACATAGGATTCTCAAGTATAACAAATAATTCTACAAAAAATCTTGACACTAGTAGTTTGAGCGTCTTACATAACCATTTGGATGGTCCAACAAAATTATTTTCAGATCTGTAGCTAGCTAAATTTTTAGATACTCCAGCAAAATCGTTCTTTCCGTGCGCAATATATCTTCCTATAAAATTACTGAAGAATTTAATTTCTATTGCACAAGCAAAATTGATACTCAAAATGATTTTCAAATTTTTTAATAAATTGAACAATTAGATCAAAGTGTATAGTAAAAGTATACAAGTAATGTATAAAGTATATATGTAGGTATACTTTTACTATACTATAGTCAGCAATTTACTGTGATATGCGTCACGCAAAAACGTCAATAATTTACAACATGATTATGACAGCATAAGGAAAAAAGTTGCTATTGCATTGCAGATATAATAGACAAGCAAGCTATCACTTGCAAAAAAACGGTTACTATAATATTACAGTACCCCACTTCTTTTGCGAGTAAGATAGGTTTCTTTGAGCAATGCAAATAATTATCACGATTAAAATTTCTTTTTCTATACACAGACAAAAATACTGTATTAGATCTAATTAAAAATAATTTTATTAATTTAATAATTAATGAAATAAATATTTGTTTTAATAAAATAAGAATATGACGTATTGAAATTATTTAGAATTAAAAACTAACATTGTTAATGTATTATCATTTTTCCGTGTAATGTACAAACTGTACATTTTCGCATAAAAAAGAACTTTTAACACAAATAAAATTTATAATTAATAGAAAAATTATTATATAACTTTAATAAACGATATATGTATATAATGTGAATGTATTTTCGATAAATTTGAATGTTTCAATTTCAAACTTAACATAATTTTCTTAACATAATTTATAGAAAAATTATGTATATATTATAATAATGCTTAAATGTTAAGTAGGACTGCCATTTCATTTGATAGATCGATAGATATCTTTATACAGTATACACGTATATTAATTTTTGTAATATTCCTGAGATGGCCATATTCATTATCATAATTTATATATTAAATAAATATTAATACAATCAAAGAATTGGAAAGAATAAAGGCACTAGGAGTCAGGTGCAGAAGACGTCGCGTAAATAATACACCTATGAAGCGTAAAACTTCTTTATTCACTAAACGCGTTTACATGTTTCGGCTCACTTTTGAGCCTTCCTCAGAGCAAACACAAACTAACATATATAAACTAAAAGTTATCCTATCATGGTGAGCTCCTCTACATCGAGAATTTAAATGCCAGAATTAAATAAAAAAAAAAAAGAAAAGGAAAATGAAAAAGAAGGGGAATATTGAAAATGTCGAATTAAAGAATATGGAAACTAATTTATCAAAAATCTTTAAGAATATAATTAATTATCCTGAAAAAATAAGAATGCTCACCACGATTACAAAGCACCATATCGCAAACATTACCATGAATAATTCAAAAATCGGTTCCTGATATGTTGGCCAGTTGGTATCAGACACAGTGTGAGTCACTTTTTAATTATTAGCTAGTATTTTTCGAGATGTTGGATTTGTCCATTTGTTATTTCGAAAAATATTAGCTAATAACTAAAAAGTGACTCACTCTGTCTGATGCCGACTGGCCAACATATCAGAAACCGGTTTTTTAATTATTCATGATAATGTTTGCGATATGGTGCTTTGGAATCGTGATGAGCGTCCTTATTTTAGGGATAATTAATATTATATTCTTAAAGTTTTTTGATAAATTAGTTTCCATATATTCTCTAATTTGACATTTTCAATATTTCCCTCCTTTTTCATTTTCCTTTTCTTTTTTTTTTGTTTTGTTTAATTCTGGCATTTAAATTCTCGATATAGGGAAGCTCACCATGACAGGATAACTTTTAGTTTATATATGTTAGTTTTTGTTTGCTCTAAGGATATTATAGGACCGTACATGTGATAACACAAACTATAGAAATCAAAGCCTTAAACGGTCTAGCTAACTCTAAGGATATTATAGGACCGTACATGTGATAACACAAACTATAAAAATCAAAGCCTTAAACGGTCTAGCTGGATCTTAATGCTTGTATGATTCTTATGTGAATTCATATACTACGTATGTAGTCCCACAGAAACGCGCGTCGAAAAATTTTCAGTCTTGAAACGCTAACTCTACTAAACTACCGCAGTAATATCACGAGTTAAATTGACTAGCAACTTGACTTGGCATCTATAGAAGTTCTATCTACATAATTATAGTATATATAAAATGTAAAATGTGAATCCACATTCTCTCTTTTATTTCGCAATTTAAGTACGCTGCATAATTTACATTTGTAAATGTTCTTTCAGCATAAACGCATGCGGCATCTCGAGGACGATAAACGATTTAAATAGCCGCAATATCCGGCAAAATATCTGAATAAATTTTCCGATTGCGAACGAACGAGATGGCGAGCGTGGACAAAGATCTCGAAGAGCTTATGTCCCACCTGGGTGAATTCGGTAAATATCAATTCCGGCAGCATTGCCTTCACCTATTCGCCGCTCTTACGGCCGGTGTGCACATGCTGTCTCTACTGACAGTCGCGGCGGTACCAGCGCATCACTGCAACATCCCTAAAGCGAACGAGTCATTGACCAAGGAGCTGTTCAATTTCACCACTCACAATTGGAACAACTCGGACGTGCCTCTTCCACGTAATCTCGATAGCTGTCACTATCTGGATCACGACAACATTATCCGGGAATGCGACTCGTGGACCTATGACACAACATACTTTCAGTCGTCACGCGGCATGGAGTGGAACTTTGTTTGTTCGCGACGTTGGATGAGCGCCGCGGCGCAATCCTCGTACATGTTCGGCGTGTTTGTGGGTGCGGTCACCCTCGGTAGCATGGCAGACAAGTATGGCAGGAAGATCATATTCTACGTGTCTGCCGTGGCGCAATTAGTGCTCGGAGTATTGGTCGCCCTAGTAAATAACTACTATATCTTTCTGATAATACGGTTTCTGTATGGTATTTTTGGTTCCGCTGGCGCGTACATCACCGGATTCGTGCTGACGATGGAACTGGTGGGTTCGTCCAGAAGGACCGTGTGTGGCGTGTTGTTTCAATTGATCTTTGCCGCGGGTTTTGTATTGGTGGCTGCATGGGGCATTGTACTCAAGGATCGTATGTGGCTCCAAATCGTATATGGTTTGCACAGCGTAATTCTGCTTGGCCACTGGTGGTGGATGGACGAATCGCCTAGATGGCTGTGGGCACACAATCGTGCCGCTGAGGCAATCATCATCGTACAGAAAGGCTTAAAGGTGAACGGCAGTGACATCCACGTGAACGCGGCCAAACTGATCAGTAAATCGAAAGTACAGCATGAGACCAAGGAGGAAAAATCACACGGTGCGTTGGATCTCTTCCGAACACCGAATCTCCGCAAAAAGAGTCTAAACATCTGCTTCAATTGGTTTGCCAATTCGATCGCTTATTATGGACTGACACTTAACATGGGTAGTCTTGTCGGCAATCCGTATCTCATGCTGTTCCTCAGTGGCGTGCTGGAAGTACCGGCGTACATTGTAATAATATTCACCATGGATCGCCTTGGCAGAAGATTTCTAATCAGTTCGTTTATGATGATAGCCGGCGTGTGCTGCATCTGCGCCGCCATCATCACCGGCACGACTGGCGACCTGGTGGCCATGGCCACGGTCACGATAGTGCTCGTAGGTAAGTGCTGTATAGCCGGTTCGTTCGCCGTGGTGTATAATTACACAGCCGAGCTGTTCCCCACGGTGGTGAGAAATACGGCGCTCGGTATTGGTTCCATGTGTGCACGTCTCAGCGGCTCTCTCACGCCGATGATCTTTCTGCTGGACACGCTGGACCCACGAGTACCAGCCGCACTCTTTGGCTTTGTCGCCCTGGTGGCGGGCTTCTTGGCGCTCTATCTACCGGAAACGCTAAACCAATCGATGCCGGAATCTATCGAGGACGGTGAGAACTTTGGTATAGGTGATACCTGCTTCACTACCTGCATAGGCGGAAGAGCGAAAGTTGCCATGAGCGAAGTCACGATGGACAAGATACCCAAGAAAGACGAAAAGGAGAAGTTGAATGATATACACAAAAAAAAAGACTATTCTTAAATCAACCATAATATATTCATGTATAAGCAAAAATATTATAATTTTGCTCCAAAGATGTCAATCTTGATTTGATTGAATTTGTATTGATATAAGATTTAAAATCGAGCAAGTCTTGAATTAAGTGCAAAGTAATACTCGCATCAAAACAAATTTAATCAAATCAAGATTGATATCTTTGAAGCAAGATTATAATATTTTTGCTTATATATATGAATATATTATGGTTGATTTAAGAATAGTCTTTTCTTGTGTATAAACGCCTATATCATATCGCCTTAGAAAATTCACCAAGTGCTTTTAATTCAACTAATACTTAGTTGTAATATGTTGAGATAAAAAACAGATACACATTGGTTTCGAAGTCATGAAGTTCTTGCGTAGATATGCTGGTAGATGTGCTGGAGTATCAGAGATATTCAGAGTTAAAAATACTTATTCTTGGAAATTAGAGTCCAGCTTAATAATACGCACAATTCTTTATTGAAAAGAAGATATTTAGAAATAATTTATATATCATATACAAAGAAAAAGAGTCACTTCTCCGAACTGCATATAAAAAATATAGTTGAATTAATTAACAATATTATTGTATATTCTCTATTTTTATAGAAAAAGCTAAAAAATATTTTCTAAAATTTTGATAACATATACATATAATATATATAATAAATATGTAATATATATAATATATATAATTTAAGAGTTATTTCTAAAAATAAAAATTTTCTATTTGGTAAAATCAATAATATATTTTGTTGATTAAATTTATATAGAGTAGCACTGTTTTTATATTATAGCGATACTTCACTGTAACCCAGTTATTGTAATTTTTATAAAATTAAATGCATATGTAGAAAATATTCAATGTATGCTTTCAAAATTTTTGGAATTATTTAAGCGTACAACGATTGTGTGGTTAGTAAAAATATTTAAACAGTACTTTTATTTAAAAATGGACTAATTTTTCATATTAAATTCTTCCATTTCTTATAAGACAGAATTATCATCGGGTTTCCCGTGAATGTCCATGGTAGAAGTGATTAAAGATTCTAGCTGCTATGTTCACGTTCGAAGAAAATTCTTATGAAACGCTAGAATAATTTGAGAGAGAGAGAGAGAGAGAGAGAGAGAAGGAGTCAACGAGGGAATAAATTTGTTGACATCCCCGACTTATCTCGCTACCTTTAGTGAGATGAACCGACTAGAACCAACCGAGTTGAGGGTTATGCGAGATAATGGGAAGGACGCGGGGGGATTTAGAGCCCACTATGATCCTAATGGCAAGGATGCAATTCAAAGAAGATCTTCCGGGAGAACGCGGGAGATCTTCGGTTCTGATGAAACCGCCGACTCACCCCTCTCTTCCTAGCTAATGGAAAAAGTTTGTCGCCCGGTCCAACGCTTTTCCAATCATAAAGTTTGAAAAATGGTCACGTCTTGTTATCCGTGGATTTTTTTTTTACTATACAAAATTGACGATAGTAACAAAAAGTCTTGTCTCCTTAGAAAATTTCGCAAAGTTCTCGCCGGACACTTCAAGTTGTTTTTTATTTTATAACTGATATTATTATAACGTATTATGTGCATTTTATTAGGCAATTTACTTTACATTTATTTTGTAAATTTATTTTGGATTTAAATACTCTCGTTATTTATATTTCGTTTAAATACTTTCATCAGACCCTCATTTAATCACTCAAATAGGACGATATTATATATGATTAAATAAAATTCGAAAGCTCTCTGAGTTGTTGAAGATTAAATTATATTATATAATATAATAAGACGCGAATTTTTTATCCCGATAATAGTCGGTTTTAATCAAACAGTATTTTTTAATAAATTAAAAATTGATTACATCATAAAGTGACAAAAATAATAATAACTGAACAACGTAAATTTATCCTCTTAAACCCAACCAAAATGTACCGCGCATCACCGCTAAGCAATAACTAAGATATAATGCGCTTCTCTCTCTAAAGTTTCTGATCCGCAATGTCACGACGAGCTTTACGAGATTTCACCGGCGCATTTTGTAGATAAGCTATTTCGAAGAAGAGCACAATCTGTGGCGTTATAATTTATGCACTTATAATTTATGCGCAAGTTACGACGCAATGGCTGACGGCAAGTTTTTCCGCGTGTGTCTCTCTGGTTGTCAGACGATTAAAAATAACCTGCATCGTGCAATCACTTGTGCAATGATGAACGCATTTCCCTTTCAACACGATGATTTGAATCAATACAATTAATGTTATTTTAATGGTACGTTTAATGCGATGGATGTATGCATCATCAATTACTTTTATGCGAAATTAACGGGATATTATAACGCTTCCGCTTCCGTGAATTCCCGAAATTCCACACGTACGTAACGTCGCCGGTGTCGGCGGAATTAAACTGTACTGCTGCTCTAAATTGTAATCTTGAAATTCTACCAACTAAATTGAAAACAATTAAATCGACAATAAATTATAAAAAATCAAATTTATACAATATCTTTAAAACATTCTATCCTTTATTTCGTATTTCGCAAATAGCTTGCAGGTTTTTAAAAAGATTCAATTAATAAATCTGAATAAAGAAGCGGTAATTTAAAATTTATAATTAAAAAAAATACATAATATGATTAATGAAGCGATATGCTTTTATTCGCCTATCGCAAATAAAGCATTTAAGAGAAATTCAGAAGAACGGAGAGAAATATATGTAACTTTTTATTCATCTGTTCGCGCTCATCTAGATATACATTCAGGAGGAGTCTGGGAAGACGCATTTCAGATGAATGTGCGCGAATATTTTAGAAAGTAGGACGTGTCCCTCAGGAAAATGAAGCAACTCCTTGCAACTGTGAGCTGTAAAGCTTTAATTTATGTATATCTGGGAAGACGCATTTCAGATGAATGTGCGCGAATATTTTAGAAAGTAGGATGTGTCCCTCAGGAAAATGAAGCAACTCCTTGCAACTGTGAGCTGTAAAGCTTTAATTTATGTATGTAAATCCGACCCTGATGATCGTACACTCACCTGCGTTATCGAGCGCGTACGGAGTCCATGCGCGAGGAATGCTGGAGGCTGGGATGTATACGGGAACACACGGTGACAGGGAGCGCGCGTCGCCTACTGAACTCTCGCTCTGTTCTCATCCATTAAATCGCAGAAAACGTTGCACCAGCGCGCGCAACTCTGTCAAACACGCTGCCGCAAATTCGATCTCCCGTAGGATTGGATCCCTCGGAAGTGCTGTTGTCCTCCGAGTTTACGTCCAAATAGAAGATCGCAAAATACGAGACGGGTGAGTTCCCTGCAATCAATAACGATCGAGTAGCTTCGAAGCTGTTAGTGCAAGTTAATTGAGGTCCTCCGATTTTCTTCGCGATTATATATACTCTGTATCGAGAGATTGACTTCTGCATAATGATCTATAATATTCAATTCCATAATTTCAGAAATAGTTTCGCTGAATAGTTTGCGAACAACATTTCTTTGGAATTTTCCGTAAAATGCTTTAAATAATAAAAATAAGGAATCTCACACACACATTATCATAAATTATCATATGTTACGTTAAACTTAATTTAGTCTTAATTGTGATAATGTTGTCTAAACTTATAATCATCGAGATCAATTGTTATATATATATTTAATAAATTTAAAATTGTTATTAAACATCGAAAATATAACTTTGAAAAAATATAAAACAATAAATATTTTTTCTAATTTATATATTTTTTGGAGACAATAAAGATAGATATATTAATTTAAGATTTAATTTCTTAGGCAAAATTCTGTAAAAGCGCTGTCATTTCAATTGAATGAATAGGAGCTTTTTTACTGCGCTTTCATATCTCTCTTCTCAACAATTGTGACAGAGCTCTTGCCTCGCGTCGATTGAAAAGCAAGTCTGTGATCGATTTAATACGCACGAAGCGGATTTCGTTGATACCTTGATTTATATTTTGCATTATTTAAATTTTACAATAAACGTTTACTATATATTTTCAAAATAAAAAGCTGATTGATCACAAAAAATTATCTGATCAAAATTGATAGCCATTTTGGTTTACAACCAAGTATTAAACTGAACAAATTACGTTCACTATTAATGCAATATTAAATCTTAATAACGTTAAGTTATTATTACATCAGTAAATTATAATATAACCGATTATTACGAAATTTTTTGTTTTTATTTAATTACTTCTCAGCCTACACCGTGTTAAATGCATTTGATATTCGCGCATTATTTTGCATATCGTGATAAATTTTCTCATAAGGAGGTGGTCACGATTTAATTATCGCCGCCAGACTTTAATTAAATTGATACCATCTTTGAACCGTAAAACAGTTGGACGTGTTCTAATTGCGAATTCCCGATGACTTGTTTACTAGCAGCGGGGGATACAACACATCACGTCGTATATATCCAAATCGTTTTAATTAGAAAAAGCATACGAATTTTTATTCGTTTTTGTGCGAAGACAGAATGTCCGAGATAGCGATTAAATAAAGACTAGGAAAAGTTGATTAAATGACTTTTTTATTGGAAAAAGTTTTAAAACACCTTAAGATCAACTTATTTTTTTTCTAATTGAAACTAATTTCTCTGTTTCTTTGTGAAAACTACAGTAGATAAAAGATGTAAGTTTAATCGTACATTTCTACGTTTAATTAATCATTAATTATCATGATATTTAATTTATCAATAGAGAATCTTTTGTTTTACATAAAATCCCTGAAAAATTTTTATAGTAAAATTATATTCTTTACAAAGATAAAAAGACTATAAGTAAATTAAATACATTTTTAAGAAGTGTCACGTTTATACAAAGAAAGAAAATTGAAGATAATTATTTCTATGTTTAAAAAATAAGCATGTAAATTGTTAAAAATTCACAGAATTTAAAAAGTTAATTCAACGATATTTTCAACTGAGTCACTTTAATATACATAAATTTACGATGCAAAATAAGTCTAGTCCATTATAATTCGTAAATGGTACGTACTAATTACGAAAATGCACATAGAATAAACTAATGGGAAATATGTCACAGTTTCGTGCATAACGTTTTCTTAAAGAGGATATTTATATATGTATAGCATTTGTGTTGCGTAAATGAGATTTACAGATTCTCTCTCTTTCTCTTTTTTCTTACATAAAGTAATTAATCAATATTTTTTTACGATTTTTCCAGTTACGCGAAGCACGCACGTACATAACTTTCAGTGATAATCGATGTGTCTTTCAAGATTAAATAAAAAATAGAAAAGCGAATGGTAAAAAACACGTTGATATGTATGCAGTATTCATCAATTTATTTTAACACGTTGATAAAATATATATTGAATATTTATATACAGATACATATACACAAATTATCCCAGAGGTCTTGATCTTAATTTTAACGAAATTCAGTTAAACTAGAGATCAATCTTTTTTTCGAAAACATTTTTTTCTTTCTTAAAGAGAATTTTTAACGATCATCTCTTGCCACAACGTTCTGATATTCGACAGAATAACTTTCGGTAATTAACTGACTTTCGGTAATTAATTGACTTTACTTTTGCAAAGTCCAATACGAATATTTGAACATCAGGTTTCATTAATCAATCACAGCACATGAATTTGATTCACAAGAAGATCCTTATTTCAAACACTGTTATATGCATAGACCGAAAATGTTTGACGCCTTCGTAACGGAAACTTGACTGAAAATCGTGTCATCAATGAATCCGTCGTGAAGATCGGGATCTTGGAAATATCTCGCGCATGAATATGAATACATCGCTCTTTTTTGACGTCGCATTAATACCTATGGTGGATACAGTCATAATGGTAACTTTGCATAAGTTTGAATATCTCTTGGTTACCAATCACTCGGAGAAAGATTTGTACTCTAGTAATACAAGAATGTACATTCGCCGCTCGTCCGTCGAGCATCAATCAGGCCGTACGATGCAGCACACGATTCGGATCATAATGTCTTCATCTTCTAATTTCTCCATCGTAGCGCCATAATTACAACAGCTTCGAACACCGCTTTTCTGCGCGGAGAATGACTATATATAAGCGCGACATCATGAAATATTACAACGCGCGGCGTGCTTAATGACGAGCTACATCGACTATGGCATGTCCACGTTATTAGGTAATTAATGGAATGAATATAATGCTCACTCGACAGCATCAGCAGTAGCGTAGTTGCTAAATCACATGCACTTTTTGTACTCCTTTTCCATTGAAATAATACCACGATTATAGTCATTTAACGTTGGACAAGTAGAGTTAGCTCTAATCGCGAATCTTATCTTAATATGAAATAATTGATGTACCAATTGAATTCGTTTTGTTGCGAAGACTTTGTTGCACTTCTTTTTCTTAAAATATATTAATATAAGGTATTAAACTGTAAGTAATTTAAAAGAACTATATACAAGCAAATAAGAAAAATAGAGAATTTATTAACGACAAAATTTAGAACCGACTTGGCAAATAAGTTTCTCTTTAAAAATTTATTATTTAAATCCGGAGCGAATTAAATAAAATAATTTAAAAATGAATAACTAACATAAACTTTTATAGCACGCGTCGATTTCTCGATCGATATTATTATCCATGTGTAAAAAACATTTAGAAAAACATATGTTTCTTAAAACTCTTATTGCAGTTATTGTAATTATTGCGCGTATTTGGCCAATAAACATAGACACGTGATCGATGGTTGTAATTGTTGAAGAAGGCACATTGTCAGACTCATTTAAAACAATCCATGGCAATTTGGTCCTTCTTGTATTTTTCTAGGCAACAAGAGAAGGCCTCGCATATATGAAAATAAAAGAAAGTTTCGCGCATAATATTCAATAATTATATATATATATCTAACGATTATTGCTGTGAAGACTAGTGGCAGCATCTATTCTTCAGTATCCTCGGCATCTAAGATACTCTTGAAGTAAAATGGTTGGAAGGGGTATCCTAAGCCTTCGTAGAATTTACTCATAAACTCGACCCTAAAGAATAAAAAATAGTAAGCAAATAATAGAAAACAATAGGATATGATGATAAAATGCCTTAATTCTTTACATTTTATCCAGTGGTCAGTAATTAAATCGACAGAAAAATTAATTGATAAAAACATTTGAAATTAATACAAAGATAAAGAGTTAGTTTATTTGTCGAAGTTAAAGATCAGTTGAAAATAATTTTATTGAACAAAATAGTTAGATTTAATCTATATTTCTTCTATTTAAAAAATATTCCTTGAGTCTCTTTTTAAAAAATTTCGAATTTCCCTAACTTTACTTGAAACAAAACTTTATCGAAAAAGCACAGACTTTTTGGAGCAACCTAGTATGTTGTACGTACCAATGAAGTCGAAGCGTATGAAGGAATGCCGAGAGGCCTTCCATTAAGACGAGAATAACGACGGTGAAGAAGGCCCAGACAGCGAACACGAAAAACAGAACAATACTATTAACGTACTGATCCTCTTCAGCACCTAAGCCTATCCGCAACACTCTATTCCAGAGCACTTCTGACAGCTGCGAGTGAGCCAAAGACAGGGCCCACAATCGTAGATAAGAGGCAGTGTGCGAAACTGTAGATAACACGTATTCTATGGTGTGGATGGCTTGATGGATCATAAGTTCACCAAAGCTGTCATCCTCGTGACTGTGATCTTCCGCCGCAGTATCCTTGCTGGTGCCTGCGCCAGGCAATTCTTGGGTCTGTAACTCGATGTCCTGAGACGCACTTCCGTTGCTCTGAACAAGTAACACACGTGTTACGTCAGCGCTAATTCATTCGTAATCGCGATTAATACAGAACACTAGTTCTCCTTCATTTCGTCTAATAATCCATCATTTTCAGACATTTATTATTATTAGCTATGTTGTTTATTAAGTTTACGTCAGCGATTACGTCTGCGACGCTCATCAAACTTTGCTAAAATTACTTTATATATACAAGTGATGCTTACAACGTGAGATAAATATCGAAGAGTCACATTTTTATTGTTATAAATTATGGATACTATAAAATAAATCATTATTGTGAATAATTTTATAAATAAGTGATAATAATTATGCACGAAGTAAAACAACAAGTTACTTACATAAATCTTCCTTCCTTGAGATTTTCTCTTTGAAAATAGAATAAATAATGGTTTCCCGAAGAGCATTACTGGAATGCACAAAAGAGCGGACAAAAGCAAAACCAACTGCAAAATATCCTGTCCTTCGAACATGTACTGGGAACAATCCTTGGGCACAGCGGCATCTTTGAAAAGCATCATGTTAATAAATGTAATTAACACCGATGGTGCACAACCTGGTCTTCGTCCTGGATCTGTATCACAAAGTATCGCATTACGATAGAAGTGTGTGCCATGTATGCATGTTGCAATTACTGATTTGAAGATAAATGAATATTTACCTTCGGCCGAAGCCTCGTACAAAATCCACTTAATAAACATCAGGACAGTCATGTAAAAAAATAGCAATAGAAGGAAGAGTAATTGTGGCAGAAATTCAAGGATCAGGTTAGCATATTTCTTGAAATACCTGAAAAAAATTACAACGCGTGACATAATATATATTAAACAGATTTTGATTATATCTTCTTTGGAAAAAATAAAATTATTTTATGCGAATGGAAACTCGAAAATGCTTTCTGCTGAATTATCTCGAAATCACTATAATATAATTCTTCAAAACTATCATTTAACTATCATGGCGCACGTAAACAAAATATTGCTTACCATTTCGTAAAAAAGAAATTATACTACGAATGTACTTTAACGTACGCTCAATATTAAAACATATACATATATAACATATTGATAACGCGTAAGTCTACAACAGTACACCTTTCTTTTTTTTAGCAATAGAACACCTTTGTAATCGCAACTCTTAATTTCGTTCGTCCAAATTATGATACTTACAACATATTGACGACGTTCATACAGACGCCGAAGATCATGTGCGCGACGCCAAAGATAATCGATACTTTCATCTTGAACGAATTGTGAAATACAATTTTGTTTTCAGCAAGAGACCAAACCGGGTCTAAACCCAGAGGATAGGGATATTGTAGGTAGCTCTCGTTCGCATTTGGTGACAGATCTAGCGCCTTGTTATGTACCGTATCGTTGAGCGAATACTTGATCCTCCAACTAGATCCGAATATGTTAACTGACTTTGCGAATATGTCGTTGTAGATTAAACCACTGTAGATGGAAAACAAACCCATGAGAAGGATGATGTAACGACCGCCGAAAAATAGATTCCCGATTTCGTTGTCCGACTTTTGCGCGCTGATCTTTTTCTCCATTAACACCATGGCCAAACCAAAAAGCGTCAGTATGAATCCTACCATAACAAAAAAAATCACACACCAAGGATTACTTAACAAAATATGTAAATACTTTTTACATATTTGTTTACTGTTTTGCTTGCTTGGATTTACTACTCACCGTGACCAGCGTCGCCAAACATAACGGCAAATAGAAAGGGAAACGTAATGATAGTGTAAAGTGCTGGATTAGCTTCACGATACGATGCCACACCGTAAGAGTCAATTAAATTTTGAAAACCTCTCGTAAACTTATTCGTTCTATTGAACGTCGGGGGATTTTCATCCGTATGGATCACGTTGAGGAAAGACGGTATGGAGCTTCCACATTGCCGCTAAAAAATCCCATATTTCTTCGTTGAATAATTTAGTCTTATGTTTCGAGTCTATATTATCTGCTGTTATACCAGTCTTCCAAGTTGATTAACAATACAAAAACTTTCTGCTTCGCAACGAATTGTAAATTACTCGACAAAATACGGTTTTAAGTTGTTTCTATATGTGCAGCTGCTCGGAAATTCAATTTACTTATAAATATTGACTCAAGTATAATTTCTAATCTTATGAAGTTTTCTATTACGTCGACAAATAAAATTTTTGCCCCATATATATGTATATATTGTGTATACATAATCAAATTAAATTTATAATACAGAATGTAGATATTTTTTTATTGTCTTATATATTTTAAAAATAAAAAGACGATTAATTAATTGATTAGAAGCAATATTATGTTAAACAGAAATATAATTTTTTCCATGCATAATAGAAAAAACTTTATATGTCGAGGTAATAAAAAACTTATATTCATAATTAAATTAAATTTATACATAAAATATACACTAACCGATCCTTCCGTGAGACAATTTTGCACGGTCCCAAGATCGGCAATGGGCACCCAGCATTCTCCGATGAGACATTTTTTGGATACGTCCATGTTGAACAGATTCATTGTGTGATAAATAGCTTTCATCTTTCGCACCATGATACTCCAGTTTGGTATTTCTTTCGCTACGTTGTACAAAACACGCTGGCGATGATCTTGCGTTTGATTTAGTACCTTAGTAGAAAAGTTGTTCAAATAAGACATTTTCGTATTGCCTAGATTAAATACTCAAATATTAAAATATTTCTTTAATTTAATTAAAATTAATTATAATAATTAATATCAATAATAAAATTGTGATATTTAAAAATATATCTATTAAGTATATTTATAAAAGGCTCACATTTGTTTATTAAGCATTATTTAAATATTAGCATTTCTAACTTTGACACAACAATTCTCACCAATTTAAGGTCCTCTAATCGTGTTCGCACACCTTTTAGCATTTCCTGACGTTCTGCATGGCTAGTCGGGCATGGATAGAGCGAGGCGTGGAAGCCAGTGCAAACCTTTTTAATACGGGTTTTCAATTGTTCTCCTTGAAAAAATGCCACAAAAGCTGTTTTATAGATCTCGTTGCCCTGAAAACATTCGCGAAAAAAAAGGGAATCAGGCGCATCGATGAACGTGCAACTTTCTCATTTTGCGACGTTTATTTATAAGTAAAGTCAAGTTAATCTTTCGAGGTCCATTAGTTCCATTTTGATATTTACGCGTTCCATTTGTTTCACGTGTATGAGATGACTAACAGAGATTAGTAAATACAATAAATTAAATAATTTCTCCGCATTAAGATAAAAGAAGAATCAGAGCTAACCGTAGCTGGATCTTCCAACGGTTTATCAAGTTCGGTTTGTCGAAGGAAAACGTTTCCACGTGATATGCGCCACAGCATTCTCTCAAAGGCTGGAACTCGTTCGCGATTTATTACCCCGCCGACAAATCTGCAAAAAATTAGGTATCAATTATAGCATCATGATTTATTAAACGATCAAATTTATTAAAAAACAAATTATATAAAATAAAATTGTTTGAAAAGAAATTGTCTATCTGAAACTTTTACCTCTAAATTTTTTTATAAACTTACAATTAGAAATATAATAAAATAATATCTAAAACTATATTTAAAAATTATATAAAGCAATGAATCAAAGATAAATCTTTCATTTAAAAAGCTTTCTTAATAATCTTTCATTTTCATTACGATCAAAAGTTATCAAAAAAAATTATCCAATAAAAGTTATTGTCCATTATATGTTTTTAATCGAATTTATGTAATCGCAATGGATTAATTACACAACTAATAATTAAAGTAACAAAAACTAATTAAACTAATTAAAATTATTCCTTTAGATAAATTATGAGTAATATAGCAAAAGTTTATTATTTATAAGTAAATCCCATTGGATTATAAGAGCTTGTCAACACAAAAGCAGCGAAGCCGTCGTAAAAGCGCTCTCTCTCTTACGCGAACAAAGGTGTTCTTTTAATATTATTAAAGATCATACATTTAATATACTAATGTAATATTTAACATACATGAGAGAAGATCTTATCTGACAATTCCGTCGTAACTATAACTTACTCCAGACGTCCGCGAATCGAAATGGCGGGATTCGGTGCTTCCTCGTTGATGAGCGCCTTGGTGATCGAGTCGTTGGCTTCTTCCTGTTGATATAGAAGAAGAAGAAACGAATCTTGATTCTTCGACAAAACGGTAACATCGATTACACGAAGGAGGACGGCGCTATGAGAGCAAAAGCTGCTGAACTACGAGTACTTTAGGTACCTCCGTGAAGAACGCTTGTGTCTTCTCGAGTACATGTTGTAATTCCGTCAGCTCGAGATAGTTGCTCTTCAGATTCACCGCGTTCTGGCTCAGCTCTTGTATGTCGTTCTCCGTTTTCTCGAGATGCGCCTGTTGGGGAAGGTAATGCAATTGATGTATAGTCGAACGTATGATGCGCAATTTAAAAATATCAAAATTATTAAAAATAATACTTTTTGTATATAATAGCAATTAATTAACAGCGAGCTTTTAGTTTGGAATATCTCTCAATTCTTATTTACTATTTTTTAAAGATATTATGAAACTACATTTTAATATAAACATTTATTGTATTACATGATTCTTTTTGCATAGACGTACACATAGCATATTTACGCTCGTTATGAACCAAAACACAAAAAAATTCAAAATCATTTTTTATTTTAGTAACTATCTAAAAAAATATTTTTTCCATCAAAGCATAAAATGTGGAACATTTCTATTGAATACATCATAGTTTGTGAACATGTCATTAAGTCATGATTTCGAAAACAAGCACCCAAAAAAAGATAATCTAATTGTAAAGTGAAATTTCCGGTAACCTCATATTCTAAGCAGAAACTTTTACAGAAAGAGTATTCCTCTTCCAATGCACTGGACTATTCATCAAAAATGTATTAGAAATTATTCTAAAAATTTTCCTCTTGTATGAAGAGGAATATATTTACTGAAAGCGGAGTATCCCTCTTACGAGCAAATTATATTAGGAACAGCAAGATTTTTACTGCAGATGCAAAACAAAAGTACTCTAACTGCAAGAATATTGTGCTTGGCATATTTTCCTCTTGATTTCAGGAGATTCCTCTTGAAGCCGTATATAAGAATAAAATCCTCTACACGGAGAGAATTTTTTCTTAAAGTTTACCTTGAAAATATGATAGTTATGGGACAACGTTGTATTTCGAAGAATTTTAATGTAAATCTCTCTCATTCATTAATAAAATATAAAATAAGTTTAATTACTTTTATTGAAGTGCATGGTAAAAATCTTTAAAATTGTATTGTACCACAACTACCGTATTTTCAGGGTAAATTTTAAAAGAAAATTCTCTCCGTGTAAGATTTAGCGGTTTCTGCTAATATTAAAATTAATTTTTTTTGGATGAGGGATTAGGTTTGATCTATTTTATTCAAATTTATTTTACGAGCGATAAATACGTTGAAATAAGTTTTCAAAACATTTTATGCTAGATTTTTACCTCGAGATCTATAATTGCACGTGGGTTGGGCGCGCGTGGTAGTTCTATAAGATTATCTGGAATCGGCACACCATCTTTCTTGACCTCTGCTTCGATGTACCGAAGTTTGCGCTCCAATTCGTCGCATCGTCGGACTTCATTAACGAACTTCCGTTGAAAATAATTCAAATCGCCGTTGAGCTAGATATTACGTCAAAATAAACATGATTAATTCTCGATGTAGTCAGAAAATATGGTATCGATGAATTATTCAAAAACAATTTAAACAAGTGCACCAAAAATTTACTCTTTCTCGCATAACATATGCATTTATTAATTTTCAATCACCTAAAAATGCATCAAAAGATTTTGTATCTCAAATAAAATTTATATACATATATTTCATAATATCTATTGCAACATTTTAATTTGATTACGTAAAATTTATATTAAAGAATAACAAAGTTAAAATGTTTGTAACATTTTAAAATAAAATTTATAAAGTTTTAGGTCAACTGTAATAAAAAGTCTCGCCGTTAAAGAATTAAAATGGCATTCTATATTTAATTAATTTTATTATTTACTTTAATTTATCTATTATTATTTATAGGAAGTTTAATTACATATTTTATATATATTATAGAATTCCAATAATATTTTAACTAAATATTTCTTTAATCTACGAATTACCATTGTTAATTAATGGAAAAATATTTTCTCTTCCCTTTTTCTCTTTAACAATTATCATAAAATAATAACAGAAAATGAGTTTCTCATTTTTACAAAAAACAATTTTTAAATAACTTCAAACGCATCAGCTGACATATTCAAATCATCATTTGTAAGTAACAAAATAATCAGACTTGTTAAATTAACTAAAGTAATCAATGGAGATTACACTTAATTTTCAACTTACGTCGCGAAATTGCACCGTACCAGTTTCTCCAAGTTCTGAAACGGAAAGGTAAGCTGCCTCCGGCTGAATGAACAGCTGGCAAAGGGCCATCTCCTCGCTTCTGAACATCGCCCCCATCTTCAAAGCAATTTAATTCTTACCCTGCGACGAAAGAGATAATATTTCTTATAAATTGCAACTTACATCAAATATAACTGAAAATAACAAAGATATGACGCAAAACAACAATTTTGAAATGAAATTTTATTTTACTAATAAAGAAAATTGTTTATATAAAGTCATAATTTTTATTAAATTTTCTGAAAATTATTAAACGTGTATTTCGTATATCTTGTTCAAATAAAAATTTTAAAAAACTATTATATTTCTGTTTAATGTAAATATTAATAATATAGTTAATTTATTAAATGGCATGAAATTTTTTCTTGTTAGTTATTTGAAAAAAAATGTAGAACAAAATGTGCGAATAAAAGAGATACATTAAATACGTAAAAGGAAGTGAAATACTCTCAAATTTTAAATTATTTCCAAAAAGTATCAAGCAATCATTAATATTAAATAAAACAATCGTAATTGTGTCTTGTTAGCACGACACGCGTTAATTATTATCAATCAATAAATGTGTCATGTAAAAGACAAAAAATTTAAAATAAGAAACAAAAATCACTATATCGGTATAATGAAATATTTACATATTTTGAGTATTTAGTAATTAATATATTTGTAAGATCTTAATAAAATAAGTAAAAGGAATAGAGCCTTTAGATCTACTAGATAAACAAATATAAATGGCAGAAAATTCTGCTATGTATTTAATAGAAACAACATGTAAAAGACGAAGCAAGCTGAAACGCAAGTAAATTTCCAAATGGATCATTCATTTCTTTTCTTCAGTAGCTATTCTAGAGTAGCTATTTTACGCGAGACGAACGAAACCCTGCAGAAAGCAACTGTGAATGAAGAAAGACCATGAGAAAAAAAATACGGAAATACTGAAAACCGCGATAAAAGACTTTCCTTGTCGACGGGGAAACCGCCAATATTTGATTTGCAAATAGTTCGTCTTCTAAACTCGACCTTGGAGAATCGAAGATCTTTTTAAAGGAGCGATGTTTGTGCGAAGTTACTATCAAATGCAATGTACATGCACGAGTTTTATCTACCGGCAAACATAAATTTCACATGAAAAATGTAATACGGGAGATGCATAGTCGTATTTTAAACTCGTTATACCTGACGTTAAATTTGGTCGCCAAAAGTTCAAGTAAAATACTTTACGGTGCTATTTTCACGTAGTAGGCGGACACGCAAGGGTAAACAGGAGTGCCAGATAAGCGAGACGCTCCATAAATATGTACGCTGAATAAAAGTGTTACACTCGTGTCGGCACACCCTCGTCGGGTTAAATTCTCGGTTTATCACGTCCTACTGCAGAATAAAAAAAATAATGCCGATGTGTTACACAATTGCTCTCAAATGCTATCTGAGAACTAATATCGTATAAACTATGTGTGTATCGTATTCCAGAGGGAGGAAGCACAAAATCTTAAATGACATAACAAACGATTCGAGACACACAGGGTTTCAGGAAATTCGATTAGAAATCGAAGATGCGCGTTCGCAGAAATCATCTCGAATGACGTTTTTCGGAAACACAGCAGAAACGGTATCCTCTTCTCACAATAATAGAAGTCTTAGTAATCGATAAGAAATTATGAAAGAAGAAATTAAAAGCAAATAATTGACATCAATTAACGTATTTAAAGCTATTATTCATAGTCTATTTTTATTTTAAAACCGTCTTAAGTAATATCTTAACATACTACGACTCAAATTGGCTTGAGACTGTACTTAAGATAATCTTAAATATACGAACCAATTATGAATACCGGTCTATAACTTTTTTTTTTATATTTATCCATATTTTCTTTAAAGCGATCTTTATAATACAGCATCAGTGAAACTAGTTTAATCAAAAATTAACATTTTATCTAAGCAATTTTAATCGATTTTCTTATCAGTTCACCATTGCTCATACGGCTAATTTTACCAAAAATTAACATTTATCTAAGCAATTTCCTTATCAGTTCACTATTACTCATCCGGCTAATTTTCGATGACGTCAAAATACTGGTAGACGTCATTATATAATGTCTCAGGGTCTAATTGCTTTAACCGTCATTTCAACATAAAACATACTTGTTGCATACTGTTTTTGTGATGATTCATCCTTGTTGTATTTCAACGCCATAAGACATTAGTTTAAGAATCAATTTAAACAAGCCACATTAAATTGTTATATAATATATTGTTTTTTTTTTTTAAAGAAGATAATATCATGAGAAGATAATATCATGTAGTTCAGCAAAATATTTGTTTAAAAGATTGCTGAATTTAATGTTGCCTGTCGCAAGTTCTTCTCTTATTACTTGGTCACACGAGAGCCTGTAATTGGCTAAGTGGCTTATTTCGTTTACACGTGCAGATGTGCTCACAAGAGTGTACGTTAAGAACTACTCTGTCACATATTTCATCTTGTTTAATATTTATTTCACAAATTAATATTTATTTATCGCAAATTAGTTTCAATTGTTAGATCAATTGATATTAAAACGTAAAGGAAGAAACTTTCTCTGATACTTTTCATGATTCATGTTAATAAAAAATTTTATTAAGCTTGTTACATTTATTAAGAAAAAATGCAAACAATTTACTGTAAACACTTTATGAAATACTAAGAATTCTTTTTTCTATTGACATTGTTTAATTTAATTTTATACGATTTATCTTAACCGATCATAAATTAATGTATTGCCAAAGAGACAATAACTTTTATGGAATGAATTAAAATCTAATCTCCTTAATTAAATGAAAAATGTATATAAAGAATATAACATTTAATGCCTTCAACATCAAATGAGGTTAAGAGATAATTATAGAATACAATACGTTGCGTGCGAAAATGCAGTAAATAGGTAAAGCTGCGACGAATTAATGGCGGACGGGCGTTGGTTTCCTGTGAAATGAATTGTATGAGTATCCGAGTTTTACAGTGAAACATTGGCATGGCGAAAGTAGATAAATTGTTAATTTTAACATTTATCTCCGCTCATTATTATGAAAAAAAAGAGAAAGGAAGAAGATAGTTAAAAACAAAAGTTCACTATATTTCGTGAATAAAAATTGTCTAAAAAAAATTTATAGTGAAAGGAAAACATCAAGAATCTAACTAGATGAAAGAACGAGGGAGGAAGAATAACCACTTATGATTGCTGATTAGGTTGTAACCCTAATAAACTCGAGGCAACAAGTTCTTCACGTACATGTCGTTATGGTTACTAAATATGTGATATTACGGTTCGCAAGATCGTATCTGATAAAAGTTATTTGAAAAAAAAGAGTCGCATGTCGATTAAATGATACGATAATAAATCAAAGTAAACAACAAATAATTAGCTAGAACAATATAGCACGTGATTATCTTGTGACATGATATCTAGTGCACAAACTGTGTCATAAAGAAAAAGAAAACAATTAATAGATATAAATTGTAATGTAATTATTCGAATTTGATGAGAAAAAGTAATGAACATTCTTCTTGCGACACAAAAAATGAAACTTCTTCTCGAGCAGTAAATGCTTGTTCTCCAATTAATCGTTAACTCTTACCACTATGTATAATTTGATACCTCATCCATATACTATCAAGGATCACCAGAATTTCTTCGTTTTTCCACCTCTTCAAAATAATTCAAAAAATCTCTAAAAATTCACCAACATACTTTCAACTTTCTAGAATAAATATTGACTCTTTATTTTGGAAAATAAAAAATGTAGTATAATTTATAATTACCGAAAGACTCAAAGAAACTTGCACGAACAGGAATCGCTCGGTCGCTATAGTTACCCATATTAGTACGGTAAGGGTTAATATTACTCATCCAGATTAATTATTGAAATAATCATTAATGCGTATCATTTATTCAACTACGATCGATTATCTTAACAACATTGAAATAAGCTTCTAATTGTCATTCTAATTACTCATAAAAATTTCGGATGGCATATAATATTTAGAACAAATGTTCATACTGCAAGTAAAATATTAATGTGAGATTATACACCCTACGTAATAATGATAAAGGTATCACATGTATCGGTTTATCGACAATATCATAGATTAATCTAGATTAAGATCTAAACCCAAGGTTATCATACAAATTAAATCGAATTCATTAGCTTCATCGAATCGATTAGTTGAAAAGCGGCGCCTAAGTCTAGAATTTATGAAGCTAATTGAAATAAATTTGCGAAATGTGTTTTACCTGGATTTACGCCAAAACAAATTCACGTGATCACTTCGATCATATTGACTTCGTCCGATTATTATTATTATTATCATCACGTCGCGTCGCTCGAAAGTAACATAGATCGTATCCTGCAAGGATACGATCGCTCTTCTACTTGACAAAAAGAATTTAAATCATCTAACCGCTTACATCATTCTCGTAATAACAGAGCAGTTTTATAATGCTAATTAATACAAATTACAGATCTACGGAATCATAAACATATCGAGCTGGAGGTGTGGACGTGATGGGCGCGGACTATAGAAATAGCGTGAAAATATCGACTCACAGCTGGGTAATATGCGTTCACCGGGTTACGTTCGACGCGTGCTGGGGCACTACCGTGACGATAAACGTTATGTGCGCACCGTTGTGGAAAAAAATTTTTTAAAAAATGATTATGTAACGAGATCCTATGAGGAGATTCGAGCGAGCACAATGGGTACTGCGCGACTGACGCGCGTCTCGTACTATCGCGGACTTTACGACTTCGCCGTTGGGTCCTATTCAACGTGGCGTGTTGAACGAGTCCGGGCCAACACAACACAATGAACTACAAACGAGTGACGAGGCGACGAGAGAGGAGAAGCGCGAACGACGAGCTTATTCATTGTACGCGCGAGCAGATACTCCTTCATCAAATGTCAGGTATACGGACAACATCCGACATTACGCGGTCGACGAGAAGCCGAGCATTGGGCCAGTATCAGTTACGTGCTCGACCAGTAGAGATAATAGCTTCTCTCTACGGGAAGCCCAAAGATAAAATTCCTACGAAAGATGACGCGAGAA